GGCGGGGGACGGGCTGCTTTTTGAGGGGCTGCCGCCGTTTGCGCGCGATTTGCTGCTTGTGCTGCTGGGGCGCGTCCGGGTGCGCTTCCTCACCGGCCCGCCGCCCGTGCTGGCTGTCGTATCGAAGCTGTGAGGCGGCGTGCCGCCGCCGCGTCCTGGGGGCTTGGCCGGGGCGCCAGCGGCGAGCCGGCGGTTTTTTTCAGACGTTGATGCTCCTACTGCTTCGCATTGTGGATCCGTACGATGTGCACATGTGTGCGTGCGGCGAAGCGGGCAGGAAAGCCTTTGGAGGGGAGGATGGGGTTCCAGGGATCACGTTGTTTGTTGGCTTGGCTGTATGTTGATCGGGACCGTTTGTGAAAGGTGGGGGCTCGCGACCCGGAGGCGCCCTGCCAGGCGTGGCCTTGGCCTGCTGAGTTGACGCCAGGAGGGTGGGAACGCCGCCCTTCGCGGTGGCGGCGGCGCGAGCCGCCAGGTCAGCTGTCGGGAAGAAGCCGTGGCTTAGGGAGACTAAGAGGAACCCGCGCTCCTTTGAAGGAGATGGCTCCAGGCACTCGTGCTGTGCCGAGAGCAGTCGTCAGTCGTGCCGGCCGCAGCCCTGCCGTCGCGCGGGCGGGGCGCGAGCCCCGGATTCCAATCCTGCCGCGTCGGCGCCACGCTTCGTGCCTGCTGAGCTTAACCAGACATTCACCCGCGCTTTCCTTCCTGTGCCGGTCCGTGTGACGCACACAGCCCATCCCCCTGCGTGCCACTTTGTTGCGGCCGGCTGAGCGGTCCTTTCACTGACATCACATGCTGTGCTTGCATCAACTCGGTCTGCCTGCCCCCTTCACATACAAAGGCCGTTCATATCAGCCCAGCCTGGCTTGCTTTGGCCCCTCACGCGTCTTGCGCTGCTTTTCCCCCAGATTGCGCAACCAAACCCTGTGGCCCTATGTTACACGCCGCCTGCTCTTAAGACCAACGGTCAGCCCACGACCACGTGCCAGATCTCATACATGCAAGATCACCCCAGATCACGGCTGTGATCGGCCAGATCACTCGGTGGTCTTGATGATGTCACTGTCCCCGGGGTCAGTGATGGCCAGGACGCTCACGCGGAAGTACTTTCCGCACGCGGTGCCCAGGTCAACGTTGTCTTTGGGGGGGGGGGGAGGGCACGGGCCGCGGGGGTGCCATGCGAGTGAGAGCATGCATTGAGGCATCGGCTGCGTGCAGTTTGTGCCTTGCCTGCGCCCTGCTGCCTTGCCCAACAGCGCCACACGTTTCCCCTCCTTCACCACCATAAGTCACCCGATATTGGAAGCAAAGCCCTCGAAACCGTCGGCCACCGCCAACCCACCCTAACCCAGCCCACTGTTGGGGCCCCCCCGACCCCACCCCTGGCCGCTCACTGCCGGTGTAGTGGTGGACGCCGGTCTTTGAGAGCATTGCGTAGTACTCGATCTCGGACTTGCGGACCGGGGGGCAGTTGCTGCTCACGATGATCAGCTTGGCTGTGAAGCGGGGGCGGTTGGCGATCGATTGTTAAATGTTGGTGCTGTGTGTGTGGGGGGGGGGAGAGGCAGGAGTCGGACAGTAGGTGGGGGGTGCGGGGTGCGGCTGCGACGCTGGGGGCGGCGCGTGCTTGCTGTCGGGCGCATGCTGCTGCTTCGCCGTGATGACTCAGTGCGCGAGGAACCGGCTGGTGCGCCTGCCGACCGCGACGACCGCGGCGGCCACTGCCGGTGCTGCCGCCGCGGCTGCAGACCCTGCAGCCGATCCCGCCACCGCCTCTGCCGATTCCACCGCAGCTGCCACCTCGCAGCTCCACGCTCCTCGCTCCACGATTGGAGACCCCACCAACGGGCCTCCGCCGCAGCGCAAGCGCCTGCTGCTCAGCCCAGCCGCCGGGATTTTTCTCCGGAGGGCGCTGAGCCTGCCCTGGCCCATGCCGCTGCGCCAGGTCAGCACAACAGCAGGCAGGAGAGGGCGGAGGGCGGCAGCGCACCCTTGCCCGAGCGCAGGGTCTTGAGGCAGGTCTTGTAACCCAGAGTGTACTTGCCGGACTTCATCACCAGCGCCAGGCGGCTGTTGATGTTCTCCTGGCTCTTCTTCTGCGAGGGCCAATTGAGAACGGCACCGAGGGCGTTCAAGGGGTGGCGGTGCAGCGATGCGCTACCTCGCGCGCGCACAAACGCCCAGTGGCGGCCGGCTGATAGGCGTTCAACTGCACGCGGCAGCAGAGCCAAGCGGCGCGAATGTTCTGTCAAACCAATTTTATCAAGACGCGCCCTCGCTGCGGGCCGCGCACCGTCTTCTTGGACGCGGCGGCCACCATCTTGCCTCCTTCGTAGCCCTGCAAGATGCACCGCAATAAAACGCACGTCAGGATCGTCGTGGCTCAAGCACGGCCTGAACGGGAGCCGCTGGGCAGATTGGAAGTTGGCACCTGTCGCTAGGGACGCACCTGGGCTCCAGAGGCTAGAAAAGTGCTATGTATGAGTGGCAAAAGAGGATGACGATACTGCTCGCGCACGCTTTGATGCAGAGCGAGCACACCCAGTCACCCAGGAACACCATGCACCAAGACACCATCGCAGAGACAAGGCCATGCATCAATCCCTTCAACAACGGCACGGAACCATGCCTCTGTAAATCCAATGCTTCTCAGTGAGGCTGAGAGGCAGCCGCCGCTCCGACATCAGCCTTGTACAACCCCCAAGGTTTGACCGTAGCTCTGACCCAGCAGCCAGCTCTGACTGACGACCTTGAACCGCAGAAACTGGCGCCACATGCAGGCCCTATCTCCTTGCCATAAAGACGATGCCCCAACACAAGTGCCCACAACCAATCTTCTGTGCGGCCCAGCCCTATCCTCCACAGGCCCACTCGTGCATCCTGTTGTGCACTCGAATCCAGCAGCCAGGTTGCTGCAGCACCCCCATCGCCCGAGGCCACAGCCGTGCAGCATGAGGAGCCTCCTGCTCGCCCTGCTCATCTGCGGCGCGGCCCAGCAGGCCCTGGCCCAGCGCCCCTTGGAGGCGATCGGCGCCGTCCTGCATGCTCCTTCCAGGACAAACGGTGGGGTGCACTACGAAGCCTGTCCTGGGCACGCCCGCCTTTCTGCGTGCACAGCCACCCTCCTTCATATCTCTCAAGTCGCACTCTCAGGCCCCCATTGCCCCCCTCCACCACGCACCCCACAACCCACAACCCACAATCGACAGGCAACTCTGATTCAATCGACCTGGGCGGCATCGCCGGCGACATACAAGACATCGTCTCCAGCTTTGGCAAGGTCCCCAAGCTGGGCCAGGTCCAGTCCACCCTCAGATCCCTCACCCTCGACATCATTCAGGCAAGCCAATCGGAGGGACACCTTGCCTGATGCATCGAGGCGCCTCTGCTTCCCTCTTAGCTCGCTGCTGCTGATGCCTCTGCGAGGGCCAGGGACGGCCGTGTGCCAGCTGCTGTAGCTTGAGAGGGTGGCGCGCCGATGTCGGCTGAGCTCGCTTGCGATTGCAGCGCGACGAAGATGCTGCACGCACAGCTCGCTGCCATGGGACCTCAGCACCGCCTTGACGTTCCCGTGCTGCCCCTGCATCTCCGAGCGCGCTGCGCTCCACACATTCGCGCCACCGCCCCTCCGACGCCTTCTGTGGAAAAGTCGTGTCACACTGTCGTCTGCCCTCTGCTGCTGCGCAGGCCCTCGCCGCCATCACCACAGCGGGGGAGCAGGCCGGCGCGTCGGCGATCGCGGCCGGCCTCGACGACGTCGCCAAAGGCCTGATATCGCGGGCCCAGGAGGCGCGCGCCTTTCATATGGGCCTGCTGGGGGAGGTGCGCGCGATAACACATGCATGCGCACGTGCGTGCATGTGGATATGCAGGCATGTGTGCACGCCAAGCTGTCCTGGGATGATGTTCAAGGCAGCGACGCAAGGTTGCCCGCCGAGACGCACCCGAGCCCGTCTGTGCTGAGTGATCAGACAGAGCGAGGGGTGGTGTGTGGCTGCTTTGCAAGATTGCAGGGATGTGAAGATTGCGCACCATCCTCGGTCGCACGTATGCCAAGCAGTGGAGACGCGCTCGCTGCAGAGATACAGCGCCCCCACCCACGTGACAGCCTCAGCGGGCGCACCGGCCGCGTGCCCCGCTTGCACGACGCGCTCGTCCCCACCGGCGCACCGGCGCCCGCCCGCAGGCAGGCAAGGCGCTCTCCAGCGGCGCCGCGGCGTTCGCCACCGCGTCCGCCCCCTTGCGTCAGCTGAGCCCGAGCGTGCTGGCGCTTGACGCAACGATGACCCAGCTGGGCCAAATGACCGCCTTCTTGGAGGTGGGCTGCTGTGTGAGCCCTGGCAATGCCAAAAAGCAAGGCTTTGGGTTGCGTGACATATGCGTGCGTGTGGAATCTGCCGCCTCAACATTGGTCGCAGGCAGACGGAGGGCACACTTTGCCGCGGCGCTTGATTGAGTTGTCGGGGCAAGAGTGTACCCCGGAGTGAGCTAGTCACTAGGTCGCTTGCATCAAGCGAGCAGGCGGCAATCCATCTAATCAGCAGCACCTCGACACACAAGCTGCTGCCCTTGCTTCGACGTCCATGGAACACCCCTTGGGCGCGTGCACCCGGCAGGGCCTGTCCACGTACGCGCCCCCCGCGAGGAAGGCCGCGCTAGACGGCCAGGCAGCCAGGCTGGAGCGCATTGCCGGCAACCTCTCCTCCATGAAGGTTTGTTGGTGTGCGCCGCTGCATGTGTGTATATACAGGCGCTGGCCTGCGAGCACGCGGCAGCTGCCTTGAGGCTGCGTCGGGGCGACAAGGGATCAAGGACTTCTGCGGTTGCCTGAGGTCGGCTCTCGTGCAACAGAATGCAGCGTGATGGATGAAGGGTCAAGGCAGCGAGTGATCAACGGGCTAAGATCGCATCGGGGCTCGTCTGCCGGTGCTGCGCCGCTTGCTCGGAGTTTGGCAAGATTGCGCAGCGCTGACGCTGCAGGTGGCACACGGTGCTGACATGCACCACAAAGCACGCCAGCCAGCAACCAACCCCGCCCTGCGCGCTTCGCCCTGCAGGAGGCGCTGCTCGGCGGCCCCGCGGGCGTCATCGACGCGATCGGCGACGCCATGGGCGCCCTGCAGCTCCCGGGGATCTTCACCGCGAACGACCTGGGCACCCTGCTGGACACGAGCATCAACCTCATCGGCAGCACCCTGAACAGCATCGCCTAGGGAAGGCGCTGGTCACAGCTTCCTCATTCAAGTGATTGACGCGGCACAGGGCCCGGGTGCGCGTGCGTGATGAGAGGACTAGGTGGGGGATTGACGGCGCTGACGTGCCGCAGCGCGCGCCTGTTCGTGTGAAGCTTTGCCGCTTGGCTAGGCGACTCGGCTTGCTGCTGTGATCTAGCTGGTGGCTTGGCCCTTTCGAGGCGGGGTGATGGGGGTTGCACAGGTGATGTCTTGTGTGAAACGGCGGCTGCGATCTTTGTTGTAACTGGCGCTGAGATTTGTGCTGCCTGCCGTCTGCAAGGCTGGTCGCTGCACTAGCGCACAGTGCATACGTAGGGAAGGCAGGCAGGCAAAAAAACGCCGGATTACCCGGGCGGTGGCAGGCCGACACAAAATGCACAGAGGACGGTGCGAGAGACGTGGCCTGGCCGGAGGCGTGCAGTGATAGTGGCCATGCCGGCGGTGTGGCCAGGGGTCCTGGGGCCAGTCGAGAAGGGCAGTCCGGGACAGTCCAAAAATCAGGGGCGGTCCCGGAGACAGAGGGCGGAGCAAAAGTCCGGGGCGGTCCAAAAGCAGGGGGCGGTCCAAACATGAAAGGGTTGTCGCATAATACGGGGTAGTCCCAGGGTCGAGGGCACTGACCGGTTCATTTTTCAAGGGACCTCTTGGCATGAGTGACCGGACCGGCGCGGGCCGTTCGGCACGTGCCGGCCAAATGTCACGTATGCGTGTGCGCAGGCGCGGTGGCGCTAGTGCGTCGGCTGTGCAGTCCAGGTGCGTTTGAGTGCGGAGCAAATGTCGCAGGACGGCCGGCGGCGGGGG